ACCTATGAAAAATGTGAAATCACTATAATTTTAGCTTTTTAATAGTAATAGGAATCTATAATAACAAATTCAACATGCCAGCATTGTTTAAGTATATGTATAGCCTATACATCCTTAAACATGACTGATCATGTGACACATTGAACATTTTCTTTGTTTTCGTACTCTACAAAATATGCTCCTTTGAGACAGGATAGAATTTTGCCAATTCCTACAACAATGCTGAAGGATTTACAATTGTAAATCTAGAAACTTTTGTGGATGGTACGCGGTTATAAAATCCTAAGTGACAGAGAGAATTGACAGCAGGTACACAGCTACAGGCTAAGGAGGCTAGTCGAAAAATTGCAAATGGGATATCGATCAAGAGCAGCTAGTATAATATGTCGTGCTTGTTTTTTAATAGATTAGGCATTCAATCTAATATTTCGGTGAATGAGAAACGACGTCGATGACCGAGAAAGAAATGACTAAGTATCATGAAAAAAAGGGGTAGGAAAATCTCCTCTCCTGACCTCGAGGGAGTAGGAGACGTGAGTGAGGTCGTTCCACGATCGATAACGCGGGACTCCCGCGAGAAAGATGCGAAAGAAGCTCCGTCGACCAGCGAACGAAAGGGCCAAAAGAATCGATCTCGTTTTACGAAACGAAAGAGAGAGAGAGAGAAAGAGAAAGAGATAGTGAGCGAGATCATAATACGACGTTTCTCTCATTTAGTCTTAGGTCTCGACAGGCAAGGAGAGACGAGACAGACAGTGATGCGCTATCTCAGGTAGATTTCTACATAAGAGGGGCATATGGTGCACACGTTTATTGCCGTATCGCGAAGGGTCGTGCGTTTGCGGGGGTGAACGTACCACCACCCGCCACTGTCTGTCGTTCGTCGTTTCTCTCTCCTCTTTTTTCATTCTCTTCCCTCGTATCGTCCTTCGTTTTTGGTCCTCGTCTTTCACGAGTCGCTGTTGCTAGCGGTCTCCGTCGAGGCTCGGCTGCTCGTTCATTCGCATGCCTGCCAACTGCGTCGCGCCGAAACTCGACGGAGAAGACCGTGGTGATCATAGCCCTCTGGTTCGTTCAGTTTAGGCAGTCGATTCCGTCCTCGTCCTGCGTATCACGATAACATTCGTTGCCTCTTCGTCACGCTCGACGGGCTCGTAAGATATTAGCCGTGTAACCGTGGTAGGGTGAGCGTGTGTTGAGTGGCGGTTGTGCAGACAGGTGCGGCCGCCGGAGCCCCATCGTCGGTGGTGCTGGTAGCAGCGACTCCAAGCGGCGACTCTCGTTAGTTTCGGGCAAGATGGGCGAACCTCGCCGGGCAGTAGCTTAGACTCTACCTACAAGACAACACATACACTAAATGTTTCCTAATCACAAGTAACAATTAATTGTACATTTATTTTATTTAAGGGAACACAAACTCTATTTTTGTAACATGCTGTATTAGTAGTGCTCCGTGGAGATTTGTACGATAGTAGAAAAAGTGTGCGAGGCCACGCGCGATATAACGGGCGACGAAAGAAGACGACGAATAGAACGAAAAAGATACGAGGAGGAAATTTTCGCGACTAGTTGGAAGACCTAAGTGTGAAACAAGAGAGAAAAACGAAGGGGAGCAGAATCGGTGGATACGGTGATCTCGGGGATAAAACAAAGCGGAACGAAGAAGACGAGAAGACAGCGACCGATACGACGAGGACAACGACAAAGGGGACAATCCCGACGAAGACGGCAACGAGGTGGATAAGGACGATTGTACCGCAACGGTGGCCGCCACTGAGGCTGAAAACGACAGCGAAGTAGGTGATAATCTCGCGTAGTCGCATCAGCTCAGTGCTGCATAGCCCCTAGCATCTGATATATATTCTCTCACTCGGTGTGGTGCGTGTTTTAATAACGAGTTACGACGTGGAGAAGTGTTCGACTGATAGTAGCAGTGAAGTGTATAGCCGACACACCCTCTTGACACTCGACATCCGTCTCATATCGCCATCGGTTCAGCTCTCTACTCCCTTCTTTCCTCATCTTTCCTTCGCTCCTTCTCGCTCTCTCCTTCGGTACATTTACGGAGTACATACCGCGTGTACGGTTCGGTCACTGCACAGAAAGCCGCACACACCACGTCGCTCTCTCTCTTTCTCATTTTCTCCTCTGCTCTTCCTCTCGTCTCAACCCCTCGTGTCTCTTTTTCTCTTTCTCCTTCTCCCGCTCTGTCCAGATTGTCCAACCGTCTTCTCCTTCTTTCATTCTTGCAAAGTGATTTATCGTTGCGCTTGTCGCATCGGGTTTCGTCGGTGTTAAAACCATACCGACCGGCTATCGTGTCCCTTTTGCGTCCATAACCATACGTACCGTGTACCGTACGCCTCGTCCTAGCTGTATCCCCCCCCTCCGGACGAACCCCCCTCGGTTTTACCGAACCGTTTCACCCACGGCTATCCATCCTCTCTCTTTCTTCCTCGCTCTTTTTCTGCCTCTGCCGCCACCCCGGTTGTATCGGCCGATCGGTGAGTGCAAATTCGTTCGTGACCGTGCTTGTGTGTGGGTTCTTCTCTTCTGCATCTAACCAGTGTCGGGAGATAACGAAAACGCGGGTGACGCCGATCTCTTGGCAACACCAAAGACCAGAAACCGGCGGCGACGTATACAGCCACGAATAAGAGAAGAAGCAGAGAGAGGGAGAGAGAGAGACGTGCCATTGCTCGTAGTAATACAGGACCGACGACACGGTATCGTTTCGAGCAGGCGCCACGAGCGATAACACTACAAACATGTCCGTGAGAATGGAAAACGTAGCCGCGCCAAGGAAACTCAACTATAAAATGATGGTGAGTAGAAGAAAGTAATAATCGTTTCTGTCATTCATTTGTTTCGTGTTTCCTTCACCGGATCAATCCGTGCCGGTCGTCGTTTCCCGCATCGGAACCCTCTCCTCCATGCCTCTTTCTGAAGAGTGTGTGTGCGTGCATACTTGCGCGTGTATGCACGCTCGCGGAAAACGTAGGCATTACCATGGGGACGACCGATGGCCACGAACCTTGCGGAACCGGCGTAGTTTGACAGTTTGCCGCGGGGCGTCTGCTGCCCCACCCAGTCTCCTCTTTCTCTCCCCCACTTTAACCTCTCTCGGCCGTCTTCGCGTATTCTTACCTTTCTTCCTTTCTTTCTTTCTTCATTTTTGTCTATCGCGTTGTAATTCATAAAGAATTTATCTGTAAAGTGTGCAGATTCACGATATCAAATGCGGCCTCGTCTTCTCGGTAGTCAATCAGTCATCTATTTCCCTTCGGTGTCTTAATTTCTATCATTCGCATATTCTTTCTTTTTTTTTATTGTTCTATTCTTGTCTTTCCATGTCTATTGCTCTGTATCCGAGCAGAATAATTCACAGACACCACGCGCTTCTGTTTTACCGGTTTCCAGAGTCATGATTCATGATTCGAGGAATAGATTTGTGCGCTCACGTGAAGCACGAATGATGAATCGGATAAGGTTTATTAAAAATTATAATGAAAGTAGTTTTATTGGAATGTAATCTTATATTTTCGAAGTATTGATATTGGGACTGGATTGATACGGGAGAAAATATATCAGACATTACGTGATCAGTATTTTACTTCAATCATTTATTTGCTTTTTGTCATTTTGCTAAATTCAATTTTTTTCTGAATTTATGATGCACCACGGGTTCTTATTCTTATACATACGGCCCTGGCATTCTGCGCAGACTCTTGCTGTCTCTTCCTGTTCTCTACCTACTTTCAATTGCTACACTTTTCATACCGAATATTTTCATACGTACGCATATTTTTCATTCCATCCAAATTTGTATGAATGTAACGAATAAAATTTTAAAATCAAATGAAACAGTAATTCTGATATTGAAAAAGTGCGGACTTAATGGATTGGCAAAGTAAATGTAAATTAAAGAAGCATTGAAATTTCGTGTATCTTTTTTAAATTTACTGCTAATTTACGATTAATCTCTTCATAAATTGTGAGCCACAAATGAATATGTATCTCTGTTATTACTAGTACATTCTTTTTACCGCGTAATTAGATCTTACTGATTATTTAATAAGATATTTAGTCGGTTGTGAAAGCGAAGTGGAGCCGCTTTCCGGAAGCGTTCTTAATCTGCACATTGAAATTCGACCTAGCACTTGTCAGTGCAGCCAACTTAATCATACGATTTCAGTGACATGTAATGACAATTTTTATACAGTTCTTAGCGTTATATAAATCGCTAAATCACTTTCCGTTTACTGTGTAAAACAGCATGTTTACAAGAACTGCGAGATAGCACAGTGATTATAAATACTTCTCAATTCGAGGCTCGTGATCATCGGTGTAGTAAGTGTCGTACCGAATGTTTTCTCGTCAACAGTATCGACGATCCAGTGTGTCATGCTCTTTTGAAACCTGTTCATTGCAAATAAATGTAGTCATTGGAAAGGTTATCGCACGGTAAATGTGTTCAAACGGATTGACGTGCAAACAGCTGTTCTCCTCAGTGTTACCAACGGCAAATTGATACTATGCAAATTAATTTAATATGCTACTGTACTCTTCCATTGTTGAAAAAAGATTGTAATCATTATACAAGAAATTTTTATATTTACTTTTACATTTTTCCATCGATATGCACGTAAATTGAATGCATAAATATTGACAGAAATCAATGCTATCTTTCCAGCATTTTTGTTATTTGTTTTCAGTTCCTCAATCTGAAGTTAAATATTTCGTAAATCAGAACCTTGTTTCGAACGTTCGCTTCCGAATTTCTCTACACCACTTCATAACTTTGTACGCTCTTACAAATGAAGAAATTCAAATAATTTACAGTAGCCCTTATTAGTGGACTGCGGATTTTATGCATTTGATAAAAAATTGAGTATTCAAAAAATATAAATACTGCATGTAATGTATAAAAATATAAAAGCGATCAAAAGCAGATTGCATATTGCAATATCTAAGTGATAACAACACTTACTTAAATCTACAAAAAGTATATTTTAGATTTTTATTAATGGCTCGGATAGAGAACTTAAAAATCATATCCCTTGCTTGTTTCTTCGTGATTTTGGCTGCTAGCAATTATTTTTAATCTTTTTTTGCAAATTATCTAGGAAACACATGGACGTATAATGAAAAAACTGTTAAGTTGATGGATCCAATATTGAAACAGTTATTTCTTTTTAAGATGTGGCTGAGAATTAATAAAGGTCATTGTACATGCTTTTGTTTAAAATAATGAATTAGGAGAAATAGTAAGATATTAATGCTTTTTCTTCCGTTCCCTAGAAGTAAAACTTACTCGATCATAAAGTACTAATAATAGTTAGCTATCGCAGAGTTGTAGTGAATGCTAAACTCTGTTACTCACAATAGTATCACATTTCAAGTCTACCTTTGACTGTGACTCAACGATCATTTGAAAATAACATGCTCTGATAATTAAAAATGAAATTTGACAAATAACATATGCGATATTTTTGTCTTATAATTTTTTTGCGTTCAGCTCTGGAATGAATAAAAACCTTTACCGTTAGATTTCCAAACGCAACTTGCTTGCATAGTGTTCTGCCGATTGCTGTTCAGAATTCCTAGCAATAATTGGACCGATTTGTTTCAATCGCAATTGCATATGCCTCTCGTTTTACTCGCGACCTCTTCAGACCCGTTCATAGATTGTTTACATCGATTCGTGTCTCACGGTTTTAAGAGCATTTCCAGTTTACATTTTTAAAAGTAAAAAGACTTTTAATAGTGACAACTGATTGGTTCGTTCGTATTGTCTTTTTATAAATTTGCAGAGAATAGACATTTTATTTATGTGAAAATACAAACAAACAATTTCAAATGTGAAAAAGAGGTTTTTGATTGGGAAAACTTCACAGGAAAGACATTTTGTGGGTGGGTGGTTTAGAGTTGCTGGCAATGAGGATGGAAAAATGAGCCGGCGGGCAAGAAAAATATAGAAATAAGATGGGGAGAGGGTATTCCACAAGGTGGCGAAGGGTGGAAGGACCAAGTAGGGTGAAGAGAATAGACGCAGCATGGATATCGATTATTTGCGGTTGCAGCGGCTGCAAGGTTCTCTCTCCCTTCGTCGGTAGCCGAGTACGAGCACCCGGAAATTTCAACGATACACCGAACCGAGATTAATCTCATTTTTCCCTTCCGGTTTTGAAATAGTTCTCAATCGAATTATACGAACGAAGGGCTCGTTCAGTTAAGGGGTGAATAGGGTATTAAGTTAAACGTGTTCCGAAAGATATTTCGCTTGGAGATCTTTTTGTGAATGTGATGAGTAGCTATTGTCAGTTTTCTTTTCAACATAGGTTACTTTCCAACCAGAGTCTTGACCTATTAATAGATAAAAGCTTGTCCTAATCTCGTTTCGAACAAGGAATCACAGACTTCACATTTTTTATGCCGCCGTCACAATTTACCATATCGTACCGTCTCTCCATTTCGTGATTACATATTTAATAAAGTTATTCTGTTATGTACGAATATTAGTGGGAGTCAGAGTAATTACTGTGTTTCTTGGGAATACAACTGGCCAAGCAACAACCGTTCCATGAAATGCTTTACACAATCGATAATAATGAGAATAAAAGAGATGCTAACAGTCGGATAGGAACCTTGATTCGTCGATAGTGAAAGAAGAGTCCATTCCTTTTTCCTTGGTTAAATCTTTCTCATCACGATGCAGTGATTGTATCTTTATACTGAAAAGGCCTCCAGTTGAATCCAACGCTTAGGAAATCTACATATATTTTTGTGCTAAACAATTTGATTCCCTCTGAACGCTGACATTTCCTCAAGAATTCTCTCACACGAATCTTTTCCTATATTATCTGCAATCATTTCAGATTAAGGATAACTCTAAGCTTTCACTGTCGCACACCATCACATGACTCAACTCAAAGAATTTTGTTATGGAAGTCGTTTAATGGATAAGATAAGGGAAAGAATTTTCAGAAATATTCTCTGAAGAAGGAGGAAAACGTATGTATTCGTCTTGTCGGAAATGAGTCACTTGGAAATGATCCGAGCTGTTGTTTATGCTAATGATGTGTCATACTAATCTCCTCCTTCTGTGTTTCACTTCGTTTCCAATAGAATTATCGTACTTCGCATATGCATTCGGAGTTTACTACAAACCGGATAGCTTCTTATATTATTTCATATTGTCCTGTAATTCTCCAACGGTTCTTTATGTTTGTAACGAAGTATAATGGTAGTTAACAGTATTAATGGTTAAACGATTTTAATAATTATTTTATTATATTCCAATTGAAATGTACCTTTCAACACGAGTAGTTATATGTATACCTAAATTATAACTTTTTGCGAGGATTGAATAGCCTGAACAACCTTATGATATATCTATATTGTTTTAAACAAATCGCAATCTAATTCTTGATTGTATCCACATTTTTTTCTCCGATTCCAACGCGTCGAAAGTATTGAAAAAATTCAGGAATGTACTACTGTAAGAGTAATATGTGTATTATTTAACATATATAATCGCTCGAGCAAATGATTCGGTAAAAACGAACGAGTACGATAGTCAATTTTAATTATCGTTATCTTCGTAAATAACAGTCAGTCGTTTGAGTGACGATGACTGACGACAGTATGGTAATTCAATTAATGGTATTTAGAGTAAAGATCATTATTAATCGTACACGTTCAAGAACTGAATAACTTTTTTAATATTGAACCTAGCGAATAACTTGTTTATTAATTCATTTAAGAGAAGCTATCGTCCTTTATTGTTTGTCCTATAATTTGTGCAAATCCGTTATTAAAAGTTACATCTTTAATTTGAGAAATGTAGATTCATACACTAGTTAATTAATGTTTAAAATTAATCCGTCGACAACTAGATCTAACTCTGTTATTCGAGAATTTAATTATAACTGTCAAAGTAGGAATCCCAAGTTAGGAACGTTCCGATTCATGCACGTGTCGTTGGTTATTACCGGCATTTAGGGTCTCGACAACGCTCACATTAACGTAATAACTCAAGACCCGACGCAGAACTCAGTACGGTTGGAATAGAATGATTGCTCGCATACCACGAATACGTAGCACACGCTGGCCGTGTCCAGCGCACGCACGCACGCACATCCACGATTAACCAGGGAATACGTTAGAACGTTCAATCGCCGGGTTTTCACTTTGTTAGATTCCTCGCATGTGCAATTGTTTGCGCGTAGTAAGATTCAACGATCCACTTTGCGGTATCCGCGTATAGAAATCTCCTGATAAATTATTATACTGCAAATTTTATGGATTTATAAGGAAGTTCAACGTATAGAAAATATACACACTGCATGTAATGTGCAAAAATATACAGAATATCGAAAGCAGTATGCATATCACAATGTTTAAGTAATAAAGCACATTTTTTTAAATTCCTATCCTAAATACTTCATTTTGCATAATAATCCGCAGTCTATAAATAATGTAACGCTGGTTGTGTGCATTCATTTGATAGAAAAAGGTGTTGGGCTAAAAGTCTAAACTCCAACTCATATATGTATATATATATATATACTATATATTCCGATGTATCTTATGTACATATACAGTGGAACCTTCATTCTATGAATTAATTGAGAGATAAATAAGAGTTCTTACAATAGACCAAGGAGCTATCACCATTAGAATAAAAGCTACGTGTATAATTCAAGGTAAACTGAAACTACCATGCGAAAATTTTTCCGTTCCTAACAAATGAAAGATAATTATTTTGAAAGTTTAGAGGTGACGTTTCTTATTTTGAAAGAATAAATGTAGATCACGAAAACTGAATTTATCGGTACAGAAACCGCGACAAAATCCGGTTTTATTCAACATGTTGAAGCAGATGGTCAGTTAATGGCTCATCATCAATATCGTCATGCTGACCTACATAATGCGGCTACAGGGTATGGATCTCTCTTTCTTGCAAATCTTACTTGGAATATGCAAGTGCGTTGTTCACCCAAACGTTCTCATTCTAGGATTCACGTTCCGTTGGAATTTCGACATTCACCGGGCATCGATTTCCGCCTTTTACAACGCGAGTACAAGCGATTGCTAATCTATCACACGTTCGAGCATGTATGTTTCTGACCAATAGATTACAAGCTTGACTAATTTTTCAAATGAATTCTATTTCACCGAACATTCCATTCAACAGACTACGGGAAAAACCATGCACACGTGTGTACCTTTCATTTCCAAGAACTTCGAACAAAATAATTGAAATCAATAATATTGTTATCTGACTGACGATTTTATGCATTTATAGCATAATTAGATATGTAAAACAAAAAGTAAAGAATACACAGTAGGCAAAATTGCATAAAGTATCAACAGCAAAATGAATAGTATGATGTTTGAAGGATTAAAGGACATTGTTACTAAATATCATTTCTTAAATTGATGTCCTACAATACGGTCTAGTCATCAGTGAAATTGAAGGGCCAACTTACGGATACCTGTATCTTTCTAGAAGAAAAAACGGCTCGATGATTCTATCTGGTGAACCTGATCGAGCCTCCAAAAGGAAGAACGATTCTCGCGTCGGTTTTTCATGCGACTGTACATCTATGGCTTGACTCTAGCTCTAACCGATCCATCGGCTGATCTCGCAGGTGCGCGCACTGGAGACATTCTGCCAAGCTTCCTATCCCTGTCTAATACACGCGAGACAGCGTATGTACATATATATATATAAGTGTAATAAATGTAAGACGCATGATACGTTAGCTACTTGAGTGGCAGGCAATGCGATCGCGATTCTATGGTTTCGTGTCAGAAGGTATCATTGTATTACCATGGTAGATTTACTGGATAGTGTACAACAGTATGTAATAGAAAAAACGACACAATTTTCTACGTATTCAGACGATTCTTCAATTATAACGTGTTAAAGTGAAAACGATAGAGTAATTGAACAATTTAATACAAAAGACGAGTCTAGAGAGACTTAAACCAGAGAGAGAAGAGAAGGTTGGCCGAATGCCTGGTCGCCTAGAGTCTGACATCCTTTAGCCGAGTTTAGGCTGATGCCGAGTATTATTAGCTGGGGATCGCGTGCTTCCGTGTCCTTACCTCATGAAACAATGAGATCGTCCGCGAAAGATATGCACCAGACCGTTCTGCGGTCGCTACGTCTATCGAGCTCACGCGAGGTTCTCTCTCCTTCCTTCGAAATCGAATCATCTGGAGATTTTTTCTCCATCCTTTCGGTTTTTATCTTGGTTAAGCTGGCCGGACCCGTTACGGGTCTCCTTGAACTTGCTCCCCGCCCGGATAATGAATTATCTCAATGCTAAACGGGTACAGAGCACAGCCAGCGGAAACGTTCTCCGAGACCGGTCTGAAAACGATTTTCAATGGGATTTTTGAGACGTACAAATTCCCCTCGAAGACGTTCTGCAGACAAGTACATCTCCGTGCATTGTACTCTAGCATTGTTAAATTTATATCCAATTACATAATTGTATATGAATAAACCTGGGGCTAGAATATTTTATTTTTTTCGCAAGTCAAGAGCATTTCTATTGATATTAAGATTACCGTACTTTCCCCTTGTCAAAAGAAGATAAATTGAAATCTGATAGAAAAAGAATCACAACAGAAAGAGGTATTTTTATAATAATAACGCTGTTGATTTTTCCGAGGAATGATCATCGTACGACCTTGACTCGGTCCCAGACATATGTACCGTTGTGTTGTCTGTCTAGCGAATTTTTTCCCAGTGACCGTATTCGTCGGCCATTAGAGAAAGCTATGCGCAAGTAGGCAATGACGAATGTTATTACTATGCCAGCGTAGGTGTGCGTCCAACCAACAATTAAATGCATGCGGTATGTCAACATCTGCGCACGTCTCGTCCCGATGATTCAATCTTTAGACAGTTTAGTACACTCGTTTCCGACTTTCGTTCTCGTTATTGCGATATCGTTTATCGCTAATGAAATATTTTCACAGTTCTTTCACTTTTATCGTGCTAGTTTTTCTTCTTCCTCTCCTGTCAGTATCTCCTGCCATTGGTTTCTAACAATTATTTGGTTATTTGATAAGATTATGACTGACCACTTCTTAGATTTAGCTGTTACGCGACCAGAGAATCTGCGATAAGTGCCGTGCTGTTCCTCACAGTCCTCTTACCAGAAGGCACCCTTGCCTTCCTCACTCCGTGACCAGATCCTTAAGAACAATATCTTTGATTGTTAGTGCTAGGTCGAGTCCAGCTGTTTTACCTTTCCTAACTGTTTCCACGGTTCCTCATGGCCAACGTATTTTACGGCACTCGATGGCCGCGTGGCTTCGAGCCACCCGCCATTTGGACACCATTATTGCAGAGTCTCTTAAGGCCCATGCAAGCTGGGTCTTTATCGTAAAGCCATTTAAAAAAAAACGAGGAATCCTGGGTTGACAGCTCTTAAAGATAAGCTGTCGCTAACACACTGTTTTCCGAATGTTGAAATGGCATTTGATAGCAAATCTGAAAATTAATATTGCGCTTCGAGAATAGACTTTTTTCTAAAACTTATTTTGAGGTATTAGAACACATTCATACAGGTGTTTCATTTGTATAATCTCATAATGTGAGATTTACATTAATAATTTTATGTATCTTTGCAGATTATATGCGATAGATGCATTTCCTTACATGCAAATTTTCTATAATTGCAGAAATATCCGTAGTCTAGCAATTAGCAGTCGCTATGATTAGCCGGTTCTAATTTAGCATAGATTCCACGTGCCCAGTCGTATCGTCATTAACGCGTCTGGAAAGGAACGTTATTGGCCGAGCAATTAATTTTGTATTAGTCATCGTGCAGAGTCAGTGAACTTCGTATCTCGTACCCCGACGACGCTTTTCTTCTTTTTAATTAAACAGATTTTTATCGTCTTATTCTCTCTAATTTCGATCTTATTCTTTCTTGAGATAGCTGCATTTTCTCGTCATGCTACTCCTTCCTACAGTTTCCTAGCACACAACGTTGTGCTGCTACTATATAATTATTATACCGAGATATATTTTCTTTTTTGTCCCGTTTCACAGAAATCGAAAGTTGATTTACATAAAACTGAGTCTATCAACGGAATTCGATTAGCTAAGACATTTTTTTTTAATTGAGTGATAAAAATCGGCACAGGCATGCATCGTCCGTGAATGACTTCTTACAGAGAGAAATAACTTGAAATATCCAGTAGGGATTGATCGGTGTTTGCCAGTCCTTACCAAGCTCTGCCATTTCAAATAAACTACCACGTCTTTTGTAACTTTCACTACATACACTTGTGGCTCATAACACTCTTATCAGATTGGCTTCCGGTTCCGCGAATCGCCGGATCGATAAGAAAAATGCGGTCGAAAATATTTCAAGAAATATTCGTGAAAATCATTAGCCTGCAATTATTCAACGTATTTCATTTGATCATTTTTTTTTTTAAGTTAAGACCTTGATACACGTCTGTACCCTCAATCGATTTTTATATTTGCATCACAAGAAACCTTGTATCACTTGTATTTAATTATCCCATTTACGGAAGAAAAGAAAGCAAGGCTTGAAGGAAAGTACTTACATATATTTGTGGGCTATTCTTTAATTCATTCAATTATTTGATACATTTATTCAACCAATTATAATCTGTTTTTCATGTTTATTAATTCGATGTTTTATTTTCTGTTTCAGGTAAGTTTTTCGCTATTCGACCGAGGACAAGTATATAAAATCCAGAACATATTTGTACATATTTAGGTATGCCTATATCTTTACTTAAACTATATTCCAATTTTTTAACACTTAATTCGGCACAAGATTTTTAAGATAACTATAGTCACCGCCCTGAAACTTTTTACATGGATAAAACTTAAGTACTGTTTCAAATTTTTATTAGAGACCTCAATAAAAAAGTTGAGAACCATGCCCTTTACTTTTTTATTCGATACTTCGATGAATAGCAATTTTTTTTACTTTTGTTACACATTATATAGTAAACTAAGTCTCCTAACACCCTAAAGAATGTTAAGTTGTTTGATATTAAAAAAGTTATTCAGTTTTGAAATGGGTACGAATATTGGAAGTGACTGCATATATGGAGATACAGTTTCCGTCGATTGAAGTAAATATCCGAATAATGCTAATCGCTCGGTATTATGCGACTTCATTAACGAGCGAGAATATTTTCAATGGAGAGCGTTACTAAAAACTATACGTTCTCTATGTACACGCTAACTGCGACGTAGCATGCATGTTCTTCGCCTCATGTATAGAATAGTGTGACACCGAATTCGTTTGCAATAGAAATGAATTTTCCTTCGCAAGTAATTTCGCAATTTAAAAAATCTGCCGTCTGGTTGTCGCGATAACAGTTGCCAAGTTTACTGCGTCGATAAAACATTCCGTTCCCATCGGATTCTAATCACATTTTCGTTACACGCCAGATCTTTACAACCTTAGCATAAATTAGTGCCCGTGCATTTCGTACTTGAGACACGCAGGGAGAAAGAGAATATGGTCAGTGGTGAACGCGTCGGCATTGTGCACTTGCTTGCCTCGAGGCCGACCTTGCCGGTACAACGATCTGATAGTAATTAATTATGCCCGTAGAACTAAATCATACTTACTTTGTATTCCGTAGCTCGTTCATCGAAATTGTTCTCCATTAGTCAACCTACCTGCGTTTCGGTTGTATGCGTCCGCGTTCCAATCTTTTATCCCCTCCCGAAATTCATTATCGATTCGATTCAGTTTTCCACGATTAAACAAGGGTAATCAATAATACTGTAGGACCTTCATTATATGAATTAATTAGCGGACAAATATGTTCATATAAGAGAATTTTCATCTTATAGAATAACGAGCTTATTTAAGGCAAAATGAAATAACGCAGTATAATTTGTTTATAGATAATTTCTTATATAATATACAAGATCATAAAACCCATACCTACTGTTCGGTTCAGAAAATCGGTTAGTTTCTAAAGATCTTACTTACTTATTTAGCTACATAATCGTGGAAGTCACTTAGAACCACTGCCAATGCAAACAGGATTTTTAAGGATGGGTTTAAAGGGTACTAGAATCCATTTATACAAATTTTTCGCTTATATAGTTTCGTATTGTACGATATACATTATTTATTTTATGCATTTTTGGAGCTTACGTACAACAGATATACCACATTTTCTTACATATAAATTTTCCGTAATTTCATAAAAATTCGATGTCTAGTTATCAAAGAAACGACATTATTTTTTTAAAATTAAAAATCGAACAATGATCAAGTCTATTTTAGAGATTTGTGAACCGGGCTTTCTTTAAAGAGATCGGCATGCGAAACGCGAAGCAACTTGGGGGCAGAAAGTCCGTGCGTGCATGCGAGCAACGGTTGTGAGATATGAAAGGAACAGCAGAGCGTGTCACAGGCGTGTCGCGTGAGTGCGTAGCGTACGTATGTATCTTCTCAAGGTGAAGAAACGGAATGTCCGGTATGCGCCGGCAAAGAGGAACTCTTTCGCGGAGGGATGAGCAGCAGGCCTGGCGACTGGTCCCCTCTCTTGTTTGCTGCCCCCCTCGCCATTTTTCTTTTCCCGTTCCCTTCTCGGTCGTCGAGTAGACGCGCACGCGTACTTATCCATGCGCATTCATCGATGTTCAACGATGGGACCGATTACATTCGTTTTCCTTGCCAATTGCAAATACAGTAGGCGAAGATATTGGTCTCATCGCTAAATACACGGACGCCAGGACCGCGTGAACCAACCAGTAAAAGATATCGAATAATCCTCAGTTCCATTTCTTTCGAATAGGATCATCGTTTCACATGATGTAGTATAATTTGTTTCTGAACTTAATGTACGTACGTAGAAACCTGGAATTCTTTTCTTCAAGTATATAAATTGCTGGCTCGAAGCTAGCATTTAGAAGCAGCGAGTTAACGGTTCGCCGCTGTTACAATCCTCTGTCGAGCTGAGCATGACGAGCCGAGTGTAAAATTGATAGATGAAAAAATGAACGAACTTCTAAACGAAGTTAACGGAGTGTCTGAAAAGTATGAAGCAACCGAGGCACTGCGTCTCTGCGCGAGAGTCAGTTCCATGTATGTATACTAGCATGCTCACTGACTGCGTGTATCTTGGCCGTGAAGTAGTAAACTGGATTAAAGCGAGTTACGAGTTCTAACGCACGTTAAACTTCACCCGCTCGCTTCATCTACTCTTTCCTGTGTCTCTCTTTTCTATGCTGATGTATTATATGCTTGATAAATTCGTTATTGGCACGTAGATCACACGATTCGATTGAAGCACGTGATCTGCCGTTATTATTAGACAGTTAGTTAAACTAGAAGAATTAATTTTGTGGGAAATGGAACAAAAATGCATAAAATATTAAAAGCTGAATTTGTATTGCAATATTTAAGTGTTAAAAGAAGTGTTTATTTAAAATTCACAAAATATCAAAACTTTTTTACAATTTTTCAAAATTTTGTGGCAATCCTTGAAAATGCAAAAAGTATATATTTATAATTATTGTCCCAAATGTTTTTAGTTACTTTAGCTAAAGAATATTTAATGTTGATTAGGAAATGTGCGATTCATTTATTTCAACACAGATAAATTGATTATATTTAATTTGTAGAATTGTAAAGTATCTCTTGCATTATTATTTCAAATAATGTTAATAAATTTAATGATGACTTATTGTTTGGGTCTTATATATTTCGCTTTTGATGCCATAAATATTTTATTTTATATAAAGACCCGCAGTTCAGTAGTAACTATCGTAACGAAATGAAGTAGCTTAGTGAATTTTTACGATAAGCTTCAATTAGAAACTTCAAATTCACAGCAACATTAAGTGTTATTAGAAAGTCGTGATTTCTCTAAAAAGATTCGTGGAGATCTAAGAATAAAAACTGAACCTGAAATAGTATAAATTCTTTTCCCTTTTCTGAAATAGTATAAATACTTTTTATTCCAACTTAGAAAACAACGAAAGTACATTAATTGATCTGCAAAGTCGTGGAAAAAGTGAATCAGGTTGTAATTTTTGTTGCTCGAGAGAAAATTTCTCGATTGCAATGAATCTTTTGGTAGACATTTAGTAAAAAGAAGATCCTTATTTTATCGTAGCGCGAGTCTGCTCGCTAATAGAGCGTAACATACAACACGGATGCCGTCCGTCCTGGCATGGTATGTAGGACATCCTGATTCCTCTCAGGACCTACCACGGGATCTGTGTATTAGCATAAAAGAAAGTTTGGCTCGGGCTACATCCTGCGAGGTCTTTCATTCACCTTACCCCATAACTTCTCAGCAAAAGTAAAGCTTATTTATTCCTCTGTCCCTAAACTTCTATATTAGTAAATCGAACAGGAGGTATTAATACGATGGATAGACAAATATTAAAGGAAGACAAATATATGGGCACAAATATGTTTACATTAGCTGCTATCGAGTTAAGGGTAATAGAATTTACATATCGAAGTATCAGATAGAGAGATCATCAGTTCAAGATTGTTGCTTCATACAACAGATTGCACGCCAAGTTAATTTTGTGCAATTAGTTCAATCGGCTATCGACACGATTGCTTGTCGATAGAATGCTTGTCCTCGCTCTTCAAGTCTTTGACCAAATCTATGTTGCTCTTCATTAGTTTGGAAGCTGTCTTTTGTGGATGATTGGTCCTGCCATTAGTTCCTCTTTTTTTTCAAGGCGTTTCGGAATGTTTAAAAAATCCCTCCTACAGGGAACCGAGGTGGGAATTGGTTTTTTTAAACCTTTTTCGAAGGGACCAGACGAGCGCGGAAAATTCCTCTAGGTAGTTGCCGCATGGTGGACCGTTAAGCCGACCGTTTGCTTATTATCCTTGGGAATTTTTAGTTTATGGCACGATCGGTTATTGAAGTACGAAAGGAAAAAGGCAAAATGGACAAGACATACAACTTGCTGTAGACAATGCTTGAAATGTTAGCTTAAATTCTCAAAAATAACCTTCCAGCAGGTACTTGTCATAAACTATCCCAACGAAGTCTCCACTTTTGTTTGTAATTGTTCCTACAGCTGGAACAAGAATTTTTCTAACTGAATAAATTTTTCTTGCCATTATTTGCAATTCAAATGTATAACATAAATTACGTAAAATATTGTGTAACATTCTCTATGAGATGAACAACGTTTATTTAAAGGGAATTATTTAATGACAATTCGAAAATAATAGCCAGACTAAAGCAACTTCAATTAATTTATTTAAAGAGGATTCCAAAATAGTTACCAGCTGAAAGCAACTAAATGAAAAATTAGGTGAGAGACTGTTGTAGAAACTGATTAAAAGAGGATACAGTCATATGTACAGATGACTTGATAACAAGTCCCCATTATCAGTGTCCTCATCACTAGTCACCAGTTACACCTCTTTGATGAGAAGAATCACAGATTTCTGTACTCTCTTTCATCTTTTATTCTACACACAGACCACTCTGTCCATGGCCTCTTCCCTCTTTAATTAATACTTTCATCATGGAGTCAATTGTACTGATGAGACCACATAACTTGATACGACAGCCAGGAATAAATGTGGATTTCAGGTCGAATATTATGAAAGACACTTAGCAATTGGCATGAATGAAAATCCGCAAGGCTGAATGGGAAACGCACGCAGAACACCGAATACGGGGTAGACGTAGTCGAGACAATGAAACATATCGGGTGCTATCGACGGAACGATAACGAGACGGTTGATTCGCACGTAGATGCCGCCGGTCCAATTGAACGGCATGCAGACAACGTGGCCGTTGGTCACTGCGAAATAGAGAACGACGTGTGAAATGGGTATCGTGATGTACCGACCGGATGCCACTTCCTGCTTACCACGTCTGCGCATCATTGTAACATGCACCTAGCGATGGGAATAAGACGATTCGAAGCCTCTCTGACCCCCAACACTCCACGAGCCATTATATTATGAATCAATGTACAAGGTTTCCATTTATGCCTACTATGCCATGTAGTAGGCCTGGAGTAAATAAATTATGTTTAGACTAAATCTTCCGACACTTTTACTACTGTGCCCGGTCGACAAGACCGGTCCTTAAAAAAAGTTATTCTTCTTATAATTGAACGTAGATAATAGTCAATTCATTACTGAATAACTTAATAAGTGAACTTTCATAGAATGACCGCACAAGTTTATTTTTATATAATTCCAATTGTACACTTGAAAAGAGAATTAAAAATGAATGGTAGTTAGTTGTACAAAAGTTTAAAAACGGTCAAATTGACCGGTAATGGTAGGTTTATAGTGTTAAAAAAAAAAACATAAAAAATTCCACGAGTCATTCAAGCCAAATGTTTGAAATATTTATCTCGAGCTTGTAATTATTGGTTACTTTCCTGGTTATGCTACGAAAAAATGCTTTTTAGATAGTACAGGAAGCAACGAAATCGTGGGTTTAGCGTATACGATAAGTAATTTCCGATACAGTGGCGTAGTTACTGTATAGCAGGGGTTAGCAATGCGGAAGAAGTCTCGAGTGGTAGGGACCCCGGGGCCTGCACGGGCAAACTGAGAAGAAAATACATAATATAAAACACTATTCAGATAATATTATATTGCATAAAAAATATTTACATAAAAACAAAAACTTTTCGTGGGGGCATTATTGGCCTAGTCACGATGGACAAAGGGATTTCTGCGTTAGATAAATAGTAAATGACTACAAAATATGTATTAGCGAT